CCCCCCAAAAGCGAGCTGTATTTCCGCGCCCCGTCCTGCTCCAAGCCGCTCTCCCCGCGGGATCTCCGCGCCGGCAGCGTCGGCTCCCTGGTCACGGTGGAGGGAATCGTCACCCGCGCCGGCGAGGTGCGGCCGCTGCTGCGCGTGGCCACCTACAGCTGCGACCAGTGCGGCGCCGAGACCTACCAGCCGGTACTGGGGCAAACTGGGATATACTGGGATGGACTGGGAGGGGTTTTGGGGGGATTTTGGGGGATTTTGGGGCGTTTTGGGGCGTTTTAGGAGGTTTGAAATGGACTGGGATGGTGTCAGTGCCACCCACAGCTGTGACCAGTGCAGGCCTGGGACAAACTGGGATATACTGGGATAGGATTTTTTAGGGGATTTCAGCGTTTTTTTAGGGAATTTCAGGGTTTTTAGGGAATTTCAGGGGTTTTTTTAGGATTTCAGGAGGTTTTTTGGGGATTTCAGGTGGATTTTTTAGGGGGATTCCCTGAATTTTTGGCGTCTCCCCTCACGGATCGCAGGCCGCGTTCTTTTCCCGCCTTTTCTGAGGGGCGCTTTCGGGGACCTTTTTTGGGCCTTTAGGGGGATTTTTTTGTGGATTCGAGCGGAATTTCTGGAAGTTTCGGGTGGAATTTTGGGGTGTCCGGGCCAATCTTTGCGATTCGGGTGGAATTTTTGGGTGGATTCTGTGAATTTTTGGGGTTTCCCCTCACAAACCCGCAGGCCGCGATTTTTTCCCGCCTTTTCCGAGGGGCCTCATCCGAGGGTCTGGGGGCGGATCTGGATGGATTTTTTTGGGATTTGGGTGGAATTTTTTTGGGCTCGGGCAGTTTTATGGGATTCAGGCCGATTTTTTTGGGGCGATTCTCGGAGTTTTTGGGGTTTTTTTTTCCCCCCTCCCCACAGATCGAGGGCCCGACTTTTACGCCGCTGCTGCTCTGCCCGAGCCGGGAGTGCCAAACCAACCGCTCGGGGGGGCGGCTCTACCTGCAGAGCCGGGGCTCCAAATTCACCAGATTCCAGGAATTACGGATCCAGGAACACGTGAGTGAGGGGGGGATCCCCAAATTCCCGCCGGGAGACCCCAAAATCCCCCCCAAAAAAATTCCCCTGGGGAAGCTCCCCTCAAGAAACGGCCCCAAAATGGCGGCCGAGGCCTTCAAATTCGACTCTTAAAAATTAAAAATCGGCTCAAAATCCGCGGAATTTGGGGAATCGTGGATTCGGGAGGTTCTCGGTGAAAGGGGGACCTGGAATTCCGGGTGGGAGAGCCGAAAATCCCCAAAAATTCCCTCAGGAAACTTCTGGAAAATTCCCCTCAGGAGCGGTTTGGGAACAGGGCCCCGTTTTGGGGGCGTTTAAAAACGGATTCCGGGGTTTTAAAGTTGGCTCCAAACGCAGCAAATTTTGGGAATTGTGGATTCGGGAGTTTGGGGGTGAGGGGGGATCCCAAAATTCCCTGAGGGGATCCCAAAATTCCCTGAGGGGAAAGCTCCAAAACCTGGGAAAATTCCCTCAAAATCGGGATCAAAATGGCGCCGGTCGCTCTGAAACGGCCCCAAAATTGCCTGAAACGGCCCCGAATCTCCCTCAAATTGGCCTTGACGTCCCAAAGTTAATTAATGTTAATTAGTTAAAAGTTAATTGAAAATTAATTTAAAATCAGTGTCCTAAAAACAGCCCGGATTGGCCCAAGATGTCCCAAAATGACCCCAAAATGTCCCCAAATTACCCCCAAATGTCCCCAAATCCCCCTGAAACGTCCCCAAAATGTCCCCAAATCCCCCTGAAATGTCCCCAAATGTCCCCAAATTCCCTGAAATGTCCCCAAAATGTCCCCAAATCCCCCTGAATGTCCCCAAATCCCCCTGAAATGTCCCCAAATGTCCCCAAATGTCCCCAAATGTCCCCAAATCCCCTGAAACGTCCCCAAATCCCCCTGGAATGTCCCCAGATCCCCTGAAATGTCCCCAAATGTCCCCAAATCCCCTGAATGTCCCCAAATCCCCCCCAAATGTCCCCAAATCCCCCTGAATGTCCCCAAATCCCCTGAACGTCCCCAAACCCGTGTCCCCGCAGTCGGAGCAGGTGCCCGTGGGTCACCTGCCGCGCTCGCTGCCGCTGCACCTGAGCGGGGCCAACACGCGCCAGGCCCAGCCCGGGGACCACGTGCGGGTGAGCGGAGCCTTCCTGCCCCTGCTGCGGGCGGGGCACGCGCAGGTGGCACAGGTGAGTCCCAAACACACCTGGG